CGTAAGCCATGTGGTAGACATTAGCCAGCAACGGTGTATATTACAGCTATTAGAATCAAATGCTCATGCGTTTGCGACTTCAGATAAGGAGATAGGAAGAACAAACGTCATGGAGTTTCAAATAAATACGGAAAGTAATCGAGCAATTCGTACGAAGCCGTAAGGATTATCAGCAGCACATGCACAAATAGTACAAGCAAAAGTTGACGAACTGTTAGCAGCAGGAATAATAGAGCCGTCTCAGTCACCGTGGGCGGCAGGCGTCTTGTTAGTGCCTAAGAAGGATGGAGAGTGGAGAATGTGCGTTGATTTTCGGAGATTAAACTCAATTACAATTAAAGATAATCATCCTCTCCCGTTAATCGATGATGTGTTGCATCAGCTGTGTGGGCGCGAGTATTTTCAACTTTAAATTTGCGCTTGGCTTATCATCAGTTACCCATTGCGCCGCGAGATAAACATAAGGCTAGTTTTGTTACAATGGGGGGACAATGGTAACATCGGTCTCTGCCATTTGGATTATGCAACGGGCCTTCTGCGTTTCAGAGCCTGATGCATTCCGTGCTGCAGGGATTTGTGGGTAAATTTGTCATTGTATATATTGACGATATCGTTGTTCATAGCGTCGATTTCGATTCACACGTAACACATCTGTTGCAGGTATTCGCGAGGTTGCAATCTGCTAATTTGAAATTGAAACTGACTAAATGTTGTTTTCTTTGCGAATCTATTCAATTTCTAGGGCACGTAATCGACAGCACAGGAATTACCCCCGACCCAAGTAAGACTCGTGCCGTACTTGATTTCCAGCCTCCCGCGACGCCTACGGATGTTAGACGCTTCCTTAGGCTAAGTGGGTATAACCGTAAGTTTATAAGGGGCTACCCTGCCATTGCACGCCCTCTCACGCTGCTTACTGGTAAATCAGTAACGTTTAAATGGACATCAGAAGAGCAGAAGGCGTTCGAGACGCTGAAGAATTCTCTTACTTCCGCTCCGGTTTTTGCATTAGCTTCACACGATTTTTCCTTGTATTGTGATGCTTCAACTCATACAATAGCTTCTGTTTTGACGCAGGTTGCGGGGGATGGTAGGGAGCATGTCATTTTGTATCTTAGTAAACAGTTAGTGGGAGCACAACTACGATGGGCCATTTTCGAGAAAGAGGCTTACACGGTAGTTTATTCACTAATACGATGGAGACATTTTCTTCTAGGTCGTAGAATGATAATTTACGTCGATCATAAACCTTTACGATATCTAATAACAGCGAAAACATTAACTAACGCCCGCTTGCAGAGATGGACAGTAGTATTATCCGAGTATGACCTGCATATAGAGTTCAGAGCGGGCCAGTACAATGTGCAAGCAGATGGCGCTCAGTCGGCTGGCAACAAACCCAGCTCGTGGAGAGTCTAACAATGAGAGTGAGAGTGAGAGTGTGGGTGACGCACGTTTGGCGATCGATGCAGTCCCAGCTAGGAAGCAGGTGACTCGGGGATCGGGACTCGGCCCCTTGATAGGCGCGACTCCACCACCTCCCGGCGCCAGTGCGCCGGTCCCAATAACATTTGTGGGTAGTGGACGTGGGCGCCCCCGGGCGAATGCATGGAGTCGGTCGGAGGTTCGGCGTCACCACCATGGATGCGGTCACGCAGACGACCTGCGAGGTCTGCAATTGCACTCACCCGGTGCAGGCCATGTCCCCGCGCAGATGCCCGTGGAGCGCATGGCACGAGCCGTCCCTGTCCACGCCACCGTCGTCGATGCGGTACAGTACCCCGGACTCGCCCCCACCACCATATGAGGAGAGGATGGCGAGTACCGAGTACCCGCCACCACCACCGCGATACGCCATCTCCGCAACGGGCGACGACGACGATGACGGCGACGACGACGACAACGGCGACGACAGGCCTCGCCAGCCAATCTATGTAATAGTAATCCCTACATAACCGCCCCACTCCCTCATAGCCCCTCTGGTCGCCCCCACAGTCAAACGGTACCCCCCTCCCCTTGAACCCCCACCTCTCCCCTTCCGCCCTCCCGCGCTCTTCTCCATCTCGCGCTCTCGCTTTCCTATTCCGCACTGGTTCCTCACGCTCTCCCCTTCTTCCAAAACAGTATGTTCAGTATTTGTAGTGTAGTCTAGAGTAGCGGAAAACATTAGTATATCGTATATTGTGTAGTGAAGAAATTGTAGTAGTAGTTATGAAGCTGTGCCGCGAAACAAAATAAAAATATATAAATAGGGAAAAAGCAAATAAAAACAATAAATAAATAGATGTTGTTTACGATACGATCACTAATCGAAAGGCGGTTGTAGCCTGCGTACCTATACGGTATTAGTTATTTTTTCTGTGTAAAGTTGCCAGTGTGCTACACGGTATTTTAAATGGACTTTTACTTGCACGGGATATTTATTTGCAAGTAGCGCGTTATACATCGTTTCGGTTACTGGCGGCACCTAGACGTAATGATAGCAACGGTTTTCGTTCGAGACTGCCAGTCCGGTTTTGATTCATTATAGGGGAGTTGCGCTTGTTCTGCTACGTCACCAATCGATTGTCTCCCCGGGCGAAATTTCGATCTCCATTGACAGCAGCCAGGGGGCTGCAACGTGACGATGGGCCATCGTCTCGGTAGGAGGGGAGGAATGTAAGCGGGCGAAGCCCACACACTATGGGAAGCATGGGGCGATGCGGGGAAACGCAACCTTGGCGCCTCCGTGTCGGAAGAGATGTCACAACAGGCTGTGAGTGGACGCTAGATCAAGCAAGCCGAAACGCGGGAGAGGACGCAGTGAGCGAAACGCACGGCTAAGGTTCCTCGGGAGCTGGTGGATTGTGACAGCCCAAACACCGACCAGATGACCTATGACATCAGGGCCAGAATCGGACCATGGAGTCGAGCCAAGTGCGGAAACGCGTATACCCCACCTTATTCGGTAGCGTAATGTAGCAGTTGTAATACTCACCCCACCGTATTTAGTATGGCCGGTTGGCCAGAAATGGGGAGCTAAAATAAGGACTGTGACGTAGGAGGGGGAACGCATTATAAATAGTGGAAGCCGCCGCCTCTCGGGGCTCTTTGTACAAGACACCCGCTGAGAAAGGTGTAAGTTGCGTGATACGGGTGCTATGCAGTAGAACGCTCTTTCCATCGGGCTAGTACACTGAGACTCAATGTATTGTATTTAGAGATTAGTAAAAACACTAGTGAACGTATGCTTTGTAATATAATATAATATAGGCGGCACAGACAGCGAGTACTATGTATGGATTACTTGCTGCCAGCGGTCTTGTTGTCAATGCAAACAACATAAATTCAGAGCGCGTAAGTTTATCCGATTACCGTGATCGATTCGTAGCAATCAGAACGATAAACTATGTAAACTATTTATTATAGTCCAGTATGGAAGTCAAGTTTCGAAGCCAGCCAGTTCCTGATTTTGGAAATTTTTCCTGCAACTAATATAGACCTAAGAATAAAATCCCCCAAGGCATTAGCCATTCCCAGTCAAATATTTACCGGCCACTGACTGGGAACCGGCCTTACTTCCAACACCGTATTAAAGCATTAATTATTTCCATCGGTGAGCATCGTTAATTAGTAATATGCAAACTCCGGCAATACACTCAAAGCCTGTCTGAATGCATAGCAGGTTACTGGTAAACACTATGTACCTCTAACGTACGGAAATCAATTACCGATTGTTGTTGTTGCAATCGTCATCCATCGGGGGACCGCGAGATCAGGGCAGGAAAATCTCCAAAACCGGATCGGTGGCAACGTCACCTGAAATGCGCATCACATTTGTCAGACGGTAACCGGCCACGCTCAACATACGTGCTTTGTCACCCAACACAGTTTAGCAGGGGTAGAAATTAAGTTTTGAACACGGGAGTCCAAAGGACTCCCTACCTCAAAAGAAGGGAGTTCCGCAGCAGAAATGAAGGGAGTCCGCCATCTGAAGTTCAAAATTAAAGATATTACATAACGCATGTGCTTATATTTAACATTCATGCGGGTTGCAGTTCTGCCAAATTTCTTTGGACTTTTACTGAAAAAATACGGGTAATTATCCGCCGAGGCCGTGCTCGCGAAACGAACTAGTTAGAATGCAGAAGTTTCAGGAGTCACACGGAACCCTGGCATATTGTCAATCAGGGAGTCGCGACCGTAAATCAGGAGTATTTGACTCCGGACTTCCGTTATTTTGCACCTGGTTTAAGGTGTTGTTATATATTATATATATATATACTATATATTATATTATATACTATTATATATTGAATGAAATGAGGTGGATTACATGAATCCACATGTCAACAACATGCAACAATATCAGCAACATCAGCTAGTAACATCATTCGGTCAAGCAGCATCAGCCAGTATGATGCCATCATCATCGTCATCATTCATTGTCATCATGCAGCAGCAGCAGTAACATCATCGTCATTCAGTCATTAATCAAAGATCATCCATGATCATCATCAGCAGCGCAAGCAGTAACATTCATCGTCAGCAGCACAGACAGCAACAGCAACAGCAAAACAACAACAATACAACAACAGCAGCAGCACCAGCACAGCATACAAACAGCTAGCAGTAAGTTACTGGAGGCTATATGGCATAGGGTTTAGGGCAGTGGCTTCTTAACTGATGGTCACTGGCAACCCAAGTGTGTCCGTGGATGGGCTTACAGGCGGTCTATGAACCCAGTCCTAGGGCGGCACTCCCATTGTTAAACGGTACTGGCGGACGTGCGCTGGACAAGGCGTATATTTTAGCCAAATCATTATTTGGCACAGGCGGTATATCTTTTCGAGGCATCATTAAAGGCACAGTCGGTTATCTAGATACACACCCATCAAGCTGTATTGGACCTAATATGGCAAACAATATTGGGCCAATATCACCAGGCCAATATTGACAAATATATGGCCAGATATTTTGGTCCAATATGCCCATATTAGCAAAACAATTGGCCAATATCACTAAGGCCGATATTGGACCAATAATGCCATATATTGACAGGACAGGACCATTATCAAAAATGTGCAATATGATGCAACAGGCGTATACTTTTTTGTTGCCAGAGTACTATTGGGGACAGGGTGTATTTTAGGCGCAAGCGGTTTGCGACAGCTGGACAAGGCGTCAGATTTCAAAGTCCCGGAGGCCACACCCCTTACCAGTCCGAAGGCGACTGCCACCCGGTTAAGCGCTATGCAAAATTGTGTGTTTATGCTGCTTTTTTGGGGAGGTGTCCTTTAGGGCCTTTTTCACCCCCAACATTCTCAAAGGGGTCGATGACTCAAAAAATGTTAATTAACCACTGAGTTAGGCAGCTAGTTAGGCCTTACTGGGTTGCGATTAGGGGTTAGCAGTTTGTGATTAGGCATTGAAGGGGTAGGGATTAGGGTTATAGAGGTCAGCGCCGGGGGGCGGTCACTCACCCACAATTATGGTACCGGGAAGGTATGTGCCCTGCGAAGTCAAAATGCTAGCCTCTGGGAATAAACTCGTGACTGAAAATGGGGGTCTCTGGAACTCAATATTTGTTGAATGGCGGAATGAGCTGGACCATGCCATCCATCCATATTGCGACATGCCGATTTGCATGCTGCGTTCACCGGCCCCAGCTTCAACTATATTGAGTACGATTGCACTGCGAATGGAAATGTTAAAAAAACTCAGGGCTCTCCGGAAACGGCAAAAATTAAGATCTGCACATGGTAACTAATCTTTGATGTATGCTCTGCGAACGAAATATTCTTAAAAAAATGCCGATGCACTGGACACTGAAAGTTTAGGGTTGAAAACTGGGGTCTCTCCGCGGCACATAAGCTACCTAGCTCTAGTAACTATACGCTCTTAGTAACTATTATGCTCCTAGTGCTGGGCGCAGCGGCAACCGTAACGCGGGCTATAAGTTACTAGAGCTAATTTCAATCAGGTATACGTGCGTGGTTCTAGGACAATATTACCCCCGGACATTCACCCCCGCGACATAATTACCCCGGACAATTACCCCCGACAATTACCCCCATGCCATCTTACCCCCATGCATTCACCCCGCCGGACAATTACCCCCGGACAATTTACCCCCGAGACATTTACCCCCCCGGGACATCTACCCCCCGGACATTTACCCCCGGACATTTTACCCCGGGAACAATTACCCCGGACATTTTACCCCCGCGACATTTACCCCGGACATTTACCCCACGGACTATTTACCCCGGACATTTACCCACCGCGACAATTACCCGGACATTTTTACCCCCGGACAATTACCCCCCCGTAATTTTACCCCCGGACAATTTACCCCTCATGCATTTTACCCCCCGCGACCAAATACCCCCGACATTTTACCCCCAGACAATTACCCCCATCGCCATTTTACCCCTCAATGCCATTTACCCCCCCCCCCCCGGACAATCACCCCGGCGCTTTACCCCCGGACAATTACCCCCCGGACAATTACTCCACGCGACATTACCCCCCCGGAACAATTACCCCCGGACAATAGCGAATTGTTTCATGTTTATTCAAACATTGACCGTCATATGCGCACATGCGCAGTTTAACGGTGGCAGCAAGCAGATGCCTTATATTGTTCGATACAAGCACACGCACGCACCGCACGCAACGCTGTACGTTACACACGCAACGCACGCACGCACACATACACACACGTTGCCTACCTGCACACACGTTGTACCTGCACACGCACACACGCACGCACGCACGCATTCCGGGGGGTAAATATCGGGGGGTAATTTGTCCGAGGGGTAATTGTCCGTGGGTAATTATCGGAGGCCGTGATTGTCCGGGGGTAAATGTCCGGGGGTAAATGTCCGGCGGTCGGTTATTGTCTGGGGGGTAAATGTCCGGGGGTAATTGTCCGGGGGGGTAATTGTCCGGAGGTGATTGTCCGGGGGGCCTTCTGTGAATGGCCATGGGGGGTAATGGCCATGGGGGTAATTGTCGGTTGGTAATTGTCTGGGGGCGTAATTGTCCGGGGGGGTAAATAGTCCGGGGCGGCTAATTTCGGGGGGTAAATGTCCGGGGCGGTAATTGACTCGCGGAGGGTGATGTCCGGGGATTTGTGAAATGCATAGGAGGTAATGGCCATGGGGGTAATTGGTCCGGGGCGCGTAATTGTTCGCGGGCGGTAATGTCCGGGCCTGCGTAATTGTCCGGGGGTAAATGTCCGGGGGTTAATTGTCGGGGGCGTAATTTCCGGGGGGTAATTGTCCGCGGGGTACAATGTTCCGAGGGCGTAATTGTCCGGGGTGGTAAATCCCGGCGGCGTAATTGTCGGGGGTAATTGTCCGGGAGGGTAAATTGTCGCGCGGGGTAAATGTCGCGGGGGTAATGTGTTCCGGGGGGGTAAATGTCCGGGGTAATTGTCCGGGGGCCGTTAATGTCGGGGTCATGTGAATGGCATGGGGGCGCTAAGATGGCATGGGAAATTTGTCCGGGCGGTAATGGTCGAGAGGGTGGTAATTGTCCGGCGGGGGTGATTTGTCCGGGGGGGTATTTGTCCTAGATACGACGTGCGTGTACCTTGCGCCCGTTGTGCACGCGGTACACGGCCACGTATTACGCACCGTACACGACAGTACACGCTCGGGTTACACGGAGATACACGCAGTAACAACGCGGCGTACACGCACTACACGCGGGTACACGGCAGATACACCGCACTGTACACGCACGTACACGCGGTACACGCCACGTACACGCCGGGTAACACGCAGATACACTGCACGTACAAACAAGCTAAACGCACGTGCACGCGGCCGATACACGCACGTACACGCACGTACACGCGGGTACACGCACAGACGTACACGCACGCACAGCAGATACACGCCACGCTAAGCACGCGGCGTACACGCACGTTACACGCGGGTACACGAGTGCCACGGCAGAATACACGCACGTATCACGCGGGTACACGGACGTACACGCGAGTACACGCACGTGCTCGCGGGTTACCGCACTTATACACGCACTACACCGCGTGCCTGTCACACGGAAATACAGCACGTACACGCGGGATACACGCACGTGCACGCTGGGTACACGCCACGTACACGCCACTGCACGCGGCGTACACGCACGCTGCACGCGGCGTACACGCGATGCACACGCGTGCACACGCAGCCGTACACTCCACGTACACGCGGGTAACACGCACGTACACGCAGTATACGCACGTACACGCACGTTACACGCGGGTGCCACGCGGGCACACGCACGTTACACGCGGTACACCACGGTACCCCCCTTTCCTTCTCTATTTCCCATTTCCTATTTAGACTTTTAAAATAGGAATACGTGATCGGAAACCCATTTCCATTTCCTATTTAGACTTTTAAAATAAGGAAACTCGGGATCAGGAAACCATTTTCCTATTTTCTATTATTCATTTTAAAAAATAGGGAAATAGGTTCGAAACCCACGCGTATGTACCGTGATTCGAATCCCTTACGGATTCAAGGATGAGGCATGAGCGAGATTGATACCTCCTGTCATTTTCGTAAATGCTGGGGTAGCCCCATCGAGAGGGGTGTTTGTTGAGCGGTGTTGTCTAAAATAATTTCTAGCAAGAAATCTGTCATTTGTTGTCAGCGCAGGCCTAGACAAAAACGTCTTTTAACGAGAGTAACTCACCTTGTTTTGACTCTTCTTTCTATATCTATGCTGTTTCTTTTCCGATCTTCAACGCCTCAAACCACCATTTTAGTTAGTAGTAGTA